TAGAAAATAGAATTGCTGATTGGATCTTAGAAAATGAATAGCTACATACAGCAGCTGCTTTGCTTTTTCAGATGGTTCTCCACTTCGAGCATGAAAGAGGATGACATTCCCTCTAAAAAGCCCATGGTACACTGGTCAAGCACTGTCTGTGGTCCTGTTGGTAATTGCGGTGGCTGTCATCAGAAGAATCAGTTGTCATTCAACAGTGTCAAGTGGCTTGAGTCCCAGAGTGCAGTTCTGGGGGGTTTCATTATTCACACTGAGGAGTACGTGAATTGTATACAGGTCATAGGGAATCAAGAAAATGCAGAAAGTGGTATGGTTAATGAATGACTTCTATGAGTGACTGAGAGATAATTTCTACTTGTGATTTCAATGCTTGTCTAGTATCAGGCAGACTAAGTGATGAGAATAAATAAAAATAACAATGAGGGGGTTGTTAGTTGATCCAATACCAAATTCTTAGAACCAACATCATAAGAACTGCATGGTAATTGGGATGAGATCAAGGGAGCAAAAGGGTTAATTGAAAATGATGAACACAATACTTTCTTGTTTCTCTCTTGATCAGTAATTCTTTCCTAACATTTTGTTTTTTTTCTAGTGGAATAATGTAACTAAGTCAACAATCATTTGTTTCTTTCTTATGTAATTTACATATTGAATCCATGGCTGTCATCAAGAAATGAGATTGCACGAGAATTGCGTTAAGTAACAGGAGAGTTTCCTCCATGTCTGAATGAAAGATAACTGAAGTAGTCAAAATTTAGATTGATAATTTAGCATGGATGTTGGAGAATTCTCCAATTTCTATGTATGGTCAGTACGTAATGAAACCCTGTGAATCAAGAATAAAAGTGACAACCTGATTGCCATGGAACTAGTAATGTATTCCTAAAGCAGGATCTTGAATCCTTTGCTGATTTGCTTTTCTTGTGTTTTGATCCAGGGGAGTGTCAGGAAGTTCTCTCTGAGCCCCATGGAACAGATGGCATGGGTAAGCGCTATATCTTCACCATCAACTCTCCAGAGGAATACATCACAGCTGTTGATGTCAGAGCTGGGGGATGGATTGATGCCATTAGATTCCACACAAACTACAAATCCAGTGTTTGGATGGGAGGGATGGGTGGGGATGAATGCTGCCTGAGACCCTCCCTCGGGAAAAACATTCTGGGTCTCATGGGAACGAGTGGAATGTATGTTGGATCACTTGGAATCCTGCTTAGCAGGTTTGTTTGTGTTTATTTGATAAAAAGTAATTGTTAGGTACAATAATCTCCTTCTTAGATTCTTCTTGTCCTCCTTCTTAACAGTTTGTCATCTCTTTCAACCCTCTAACCCCTTAGAGTGACTCTCATCTAAGTTCTCCCAACAACACCACCCTTGAGTCACACATTAAGGTCATGAGAATAAAGGAAATGATCACCAACTAAAGAAGAAGCTCTTGATTGTTAAACAAGTTCTCCTTGTCAGCAAGTTAAAAACATGTAGAGAACAGTATGGAGAATTTGCATACTAATGTTATGGTGTAAAGGGGTTAGACTCCACTATGGAGGTGCTCCACAACCTTCTGTCACTGTCCCCCCTCTTGAGCAGGAAAATTGGACAAAATAAGTTGCGTTCTTTCTCTCTTGTCCACCGGTGTGGCAAAATAGTACCTTAATGTAGCAATATTACCATCTTTTGTTCATTTTCATAGTGTATGTTTTGTCAAATTGGACATTTTTCTCTTTCAAGGCAGCTCAGTATGAGTCATAATTTTTAAACACCAATTCCCTAGAGGACTGTGGCTTCCGTAAATTTTTTACTTTGTGTCTTTGAATAAAGCATCAAAAAAATTCCCAATTATTTCTGAACATGTTCTGGCCATGTTTCTGGCACCCTAAGCTATCAAAGCAAATCTGACCCTCACCTTATTCCGGCTTGATGTGCCTGCAACTCAAAAACAATTCGGGTGACCCCCAATATTTTATTACTAAACTGCAACTAGCATCAAGGTTCATCTTTTTGGGAAGTCTTAAGAAATGTGAGTATACGGCAAAGGTAAAGGAAAAACCTGTATTCCCACCCAAACATTGCAAGATTACCCCAAGATTACCCACTTCCATTTGACCAGGCTTCCCAGACAATTTGCCAGTACATATTGATACTCCTGGGTGGAGAGAAGCTCTGTAAGAGTAAAGTGTTTTTCCTAAGAACACAACACGGTAACCTGGTTAGTTCTTGAACTCGGATCGCTAGACCCAGACTCCAGCGCACTAACCCTAAGGCTGCCGCGTCCCCCAGTTAACCCTTTATCCCCTAAGAGTGACCAGCATCAAAATTCTCCTTACCATATCACCCCTGAATCAAACTTGAAAGTCATGAGAATAGTGGAGATGATCACCTACTAAAGCAGCTCTTGATTGTTAAACAAATTCTCCTTATCAGCCTTTTTTTAAATGTATGTAGAACAGTATGGAGAATATGTATACTGATGTAAGGGTGTCAAGGGTTAAAGTTGGTCAGTAAGCCATATGTACTATCTCTATTTAACTCTGCATTGTAATTTTTAGTGATTCAGACAAAGAAATAACACCAACGGATGAGGCAGACCAATTAGTTGTAGAAGCACCTCTCGGGATAAGGCTGATTGAGCTCTGGGACAAGAAACACAGTGAAGTGTACCAACACTGGGAATTCCTACAACCACACCCACCCAACACATTCACCCTGTCCAGATCAGAAGTGAGGGACCAAGCCTCAACTCTCCTTGTTGAAGATGACCAAGGAAACATTTGTCGCACAGCTTTCGTTTACGATTACAATGAGATCGTTTGATGGAACAATTTGCGATAATCTAATAAGCCCTTGAATTTATCAAGGAAATTTACTAAGTTGTGAGTGATGCGTAGAAAAACGTGCGTGCAGTTTGAGCTGGTGTAAATAGACGGTGACGAAAAAAGGGGAAGGGGAGGGTGTGGGATGATGCACGAAGTTTTGGAAAAATTCACGCGTCTGTCACATGTTATTTAAACAGTATTTCACGCATCACGAAGTCAAAAGGGAATAGGGTTTAATCAGGCGTCTCGTATAAACCATCTGCCACCCTCTAGATAAAGTGGCGTCTGGTGCATACGGGAGGCAGAGTGGAGTTTGTAGAGTAGATCGCTTTCTTAAGACGTAGAGTACCAGAGGCATGCACCAGGTGACTTTCTGACGTTTAACGGAAAAAAGAGACGTGCAATAATTACTTTTTCATTTAGGAGGGTGAGGACACTACGACCCATTTTTTTTCACAAACCTTAATCACTCATAAAGGCTCCTCAAGGAAATGATTCATTTCGACACCAGCAAGACTACGACCTTTCTAACTGGTAAAATCTAGAAGCTCTAGGGGTAAAATTGTAAGCGTAATACACAAGATGGTCAAAGGAAAATTTAATTTAAAAACCAGAGATGGTTTGAGCCGCTTTAAAAGTTAGCACTACAGGATGCTTGTTCTGTGCGTACTGTACATATACATTGAAATGTGTCTCATGTCATCCTCTATCTTAAGTAAACTTACTCATTCACCCATGAATGACTGTTATGATAACCTGTTCAAGAACTTTCCTTCTTTTTCACTTTTTTTGGAGTAATTTTTAAGGGAGCATCGAAAGTTAGCATTGGTTTCCCTTGAATTGGCTTTGCGATTGGTCAAGAAAACCTGCACGATCGCACCATTCTTTCGACCAATCACATCCAAGACTGAGACCAATCGCGACTTAGCAACTTGCGTTTTCCCGCGCTTCTAAAAGTTGTTTGTTTTTACTTTGAGTGCTCATTGGTTCCTTGTAATTTTTTTCTTTATTTTGATTGGTCGCTTTGATAACATATTGTTGGTCTTTTTTTGCGATACTCATTCAATACCGCTCTATCTCTTCTCACCTTTTGAGAAATCAGAAAATTTATAGAATCCTAAACCTAAAGTTTCACCAGACATTAGCGCACGATGGATTACAGGGAAAAGCACAGTCAATATGTTGATGTTCTGTCGTCCGCTCGAACATCCAGTTTCCAACAGCCTCAGCAACGCTAAAACCATTCACAAAGATTCCAGTCCAAGTATCATCATACAAGCTCTGCGAATGTTCTAAACACGAGCTTAAAAATAAACCTGAATTAAGTGAACGTAGCACTGGGCGCAATGCAAACAGACTCACATTCCTGTATTGCATAATTGCTGCCATTTCATTACGCGTGCATTCTGGCGGCCTGCAATAAATGCCGTGAATGTGTTTGTAGTTCCAGTTACGATCTGGGCTGGGCTTACTCGGAGAAATGGTGTCTTTGGTAGATCTACGAAAAAGACTTCGTTTTGTGGTGAAATTATCGCTGTAGTCAGGAACCTGGCAGTTGATTCCGCGAATGTGGATCAGTTGCCACTCGTCATATGCCGATTGCAGCACAAAAAGAGGCGTGCTTACGAAGTTAAAAGCATGTTGGGGAAATAAACATTTCCAACGGAGTGACGGCCGAAAACCTCTCGCACAATCTTCGTCAACGCCACCAACGGAGTTGTGCACATCAAACATCTCCTTAAAATGCTTGTTGATCATGTTCTCACCACTCAGTGCTGCTACATCGACAAAGTAACCCGAATCGACCAGTGCACGAACATCTATCGATTTAGGAATACGACTCCGAACGAAGTCGGCGTTCATCGTCACTGCTAAACTTCCGGCGGAAGTCCCGCTGAGGAGTAAGCGCTTTGCATTTCGAAATTCGCTTTGCAATAACTGATCAATGATCACCTCCAGAATTTTTTTGCCACGCATATAGATATACTGTCCGTTTACATTAACTGGATCTGACCGATAACCAGTAAAAGAAGCTCCGTCACAGTAACACAACAGAACTAAGTTCCAATCGTAGAAATCCGGGTTAATTTTGTCGTTGTCGGAGAGGATTCCTTGCAGTGTTGGAGGATGGGGCGGAAAGAAATTACTTGATCCCAATCGCGTTTTACTGCGTTGAAGACAGGATTCCTCGTCAAAACACCATGCTCCACCGAAGAAGTGAATAATCCAGTTATTACCCCCTGCGCCATGTCCTTGTCTGAAGTAATATCCGGGGGGTGATCCGTCTAGGCAGACTGCACCTTGTTTGACAGCGAAAGGCAACATCACTAGCTCCACATTCTTGGCATAGGATCGTCGCTCCTGATCATGTTTGCTTGTCTGAGATGAAGCCGAATTCGGGATATAGATGTTAACAAACGCGGTGTTTCGTAATAAGAACGAAATAATCAAAACTGTCATCAAACAACTAAGACCACTGGAAATAAAAATCGTCCGAAAATGTCCGTAGGAAGAAGAATTGTGACTTCTTTGTTGTCTGAGAAGGTAACCATCTTTGTCAACGGCAGACATACTTTGTGTTTTCCGCGGTGATCTACCACATGATGGAAGTAGTTTTGCGCACAAATTTAAAATCAAAACAACTCCTCATTCTTTTGCAAAGAATCTTCTCTCATCCCATCTTACTGATCAGCCAGGCCGCGATTTTCCTATTTCGTTTTCATTTCGATCTGTTGAACCGTTCTAAGTTGTTTAAAATAAGAAATGAAAAAAAATTAATTCCTGATGCCTTGAAACGTCTGAGCAAACAGTGGCAACAGGTTGTGCAGGTGACAACTTCACTTCGTGAATCGCTGGCTACAAATCTTGACAATACACTGAACTGATGGAAAATTATGCTCAGTCGCTTTCCTCTAAAAATATTTTTTGACTCAACCTTAGATTCCGACTTACCTTAAATAAAAAAAAAAGGTGACATCAGTTGGACTGCAAGAAGGGGCATTTAAGTGCTATGTCACAAATTTTCACTGATTTTTTCCCCCATTCGGTTTTGTTGAAAATTCGCATTAACTGGAAAGCAGTCTAAATAATGGTTTGGCAGGGAAGAAAATCGCCAAAAAGCTATTAATAGGCAAAAGTTATCGAGGAGAGTCCAGGAATGATAAGATTGACTGTTGAAAATTATGTACAAACAATGACGTAGTTACTCCAGTAACAGGTGTGTAGAATAAAAATGTGTGTAAATATGTACTACCAGTTGACAACTGCGAAAAAATTTTCCCATAGGTTCCGTTACAAAGTTGCAATCGTAAATTATTGATCGAAGTACTGCAAAACCTAAACTTGACTTTTTTAAGCCATAGCCTCGAAATCACTAAATTAACATACTCATCAAATCCTAGGCCCTTTTTTTTCGTCTTCGTTGCCGGGTAGAGAAGCAAGGCCCTGGGACGAGTATTGACAGGAATATTAAGTGAGGTCCGCCTCAAAGTGGAGTCCCTACCCTAAGCCCTCAATATTAGTGCTGTACGACGTGGGTTTCTCCGTCAGCGAGAATCTTCGAGACGAGTCATGGGTAAGGTTAGTCGGGGGTCTGGCTCTGTTAGTGGCACTATTAGTGCCAGACCCCTGGCAAACCTTTCATTGGCTCGCCTTGCTCAAGGACTCAGATCGCGGGCTTAGAAACGCTGGTGTTGCAGCGCTAATAACTGAAAGCATTCGTGCAGGCTAACCTAGAGCCCAGTACCACAAATATGTGTAAATCTACAGGCGGTCTAACACAGTTGGTTCAATTTGATTGACTACACCAATCACTGCAACATAACAATAAGATTATCAACTCAGCAAAGTGAAACTCAATTATCGAGCAAGGAAATCAAGAGCGAATATTTTTTTTAGTATAAATCAACCTATCATTCAAAACTTGACAACAAGATAGGCTCATGTTGATCATTTATTTTGTCTACAATTTCACGATGTTAGGCTACTTACTCCATTCTATATATCACGAATAATCACGAATAGATAGCGAGTGGTTTAGCCAATCACATTGCAGCATTTGTGATTGAATGCTAATAAATCCATACTACAATAGAATGAGTAAAGTGAAACGCCCTCCAGTGTGCGATTGTAAACATAACAAAATAACCTCATATGGTTGATAGGTTTTGAACGACTAAACCAAAATAATTAGATCAGAGCACTTTTCGATTGTCGTAAAACTGAAACCAAAGCAGTCACGACCGCCAATCAGAAATCAGGAAAATATATCAAAAAACCCAATCAGTACTCAAAGTAAATCAAGCCTTAAGCCAATGCAGTAATAAACTCAAGCCAATACAGTCACGACGGCCAATCAGACATCAGGAAAATATCTCAAAAAAGCCAATCATAACTCAAAGGAAAATTAAGGCTAAAGCGTGGAAAGACGCGGGTGAATAGGTCGTGATTGGTTTCAGTTTTGCATTTGACTGTTTGAGTGTGGTGCAGGTTTTCTGGACCAATCACAGAACTAGGGGAAGAATAATCAATGCAACCCCGGAATACTTTTGACAATCACTGAAAATTACTCTGTTCAATTGGCTCATTTCTATGTGTGATAGTTGATTTGGGCTTCACCTTAGTCGACTAACACTCGTTAGGAATCCAACGCTCAGAGTCTGGTCGTCAATTTGCATATACAACTAAAGAAAATTAAATATCAATAACTGGGCAACTGCCCACCTACCCCTCCCCTAACCCTACATTAACCCTAACTTGTTATCAATTGACTGTTGGTGGGTTAGGGGAGGGGTAGGTGGACAGTTGCCCAGATACTGATATTGATCCGAAAATTACATGGGACAATTAATATTGATTACAATTTTCTATTTTTAGAAACATCCCCTTCATGGAGCAACAGAAAAATCGAACTTTACAACTTTGTCAGCGTATTCTAAGAATTTATTTCAAAAAGTTTTTAATTATCATTAGCACGCTAACAACTACAAAGAGAGTACAGAAATACTACAGGAATTCTGTAGCGTACTCTGTACGTGTTCCTTCGGACTAAACAACCTACTTTGTCTTTTCTTATTACAAAGAAATATGAATCGTGTTTTCCACCAAAACCTAGCTTGGTTGATGGAAACACTTCAATCAAAAAATACCTGCATCGAATGCGAAGGTTTTTTAATGAGTTTGACGTCACTTATACAAAAGGTAATTATTGTAGGCTTTTATACATCAGAATTGCTCAAAGCGGTCGAAACAAGCCTTAAAATTCTGCACTTTGTGCGGGAACCATTTTCCCTTTTTTTCGTTTCAACATTACCAGACCCCCAACCCTCTTAAAAAAAATTGTACAATTATCAATAACAAACAATGCGCCATAAATTACAGTGAAACTTGAAATAAGCGGACACTCGCGAGACTCACTTACGAGTGGTGACCGCGAAAGACAGGCTCTGTAATTTGCAAGATGATTCACCATCGAGAAACTTTTCGAGTCTGACTTTCTCGGGTGGATACATAAACACCCAAGTCCCGAAATAACCGCTTCAGAAGTTAAAAAAAATGCAACACCAAATCGTGAGCGCATAAAAATTAGCCACAAATTTCTCATGACGCTGATCGCAGCGAATATGTTCGCCAGCAAAAATCGCCGATATTTTGCATGGCAGACATCGGTAATTACATGCACCGATTTCGGCGATCGGAGAAAACCGCATTACTAAGCATACCTGACGATTTTAATAAGCGATCAGCCTATAAAATC